ACGTTTGAGAAGGTACCAACTCGGCTGTATGATGCTGGGAATCATGACAACTGCTATGCCAGACGACTTCGGATTAGATGCGTTCCACTAACTCGCCCTGACAACAACAAAACCAAGTTGCGACAACGAAATCAACCCACTTCTACAATCATATCTTCAATTATATATGTTTGTTTATATGACTGTGTTTACGTATGCTTATGTGTCTTTGCGCGAATATATCTACATGTGTGTGCGTATGTCTTGGCTTATGTGTGCGCTTTTGTGGTAGAGTGCTGACATATTATCACTTACTGGAAGCCAGCCTTGAAAAAGGGCAGTCGTCAAAATGTAGGATCTAAATTTAATTTAATTTATAGTTGGGCATAATCATATAATTATGAAAAAAAATTTACTAACGGTTGTTAGGTAAGGTCAGGCAATATAAGCTGATTATGTTCTTTTTCAATATGTACCGATAATCTCCTTAACGAATTGTATCGAAAAGCAAGATGCAATCTACAGTAACTGAGCACAATTCCGAAGCAAATGCGTTTACGTCGAGACGCAAATTGAATTGCCGATAAGTGGGGCCGACGATGTGATTTAAAAGGGATAAACATCCGAAATGGCCCATGAATAAGGGACATCGATGACAGGCTTCCATGAGGGTTCGAAAAAATGTTGAACACACTACGAGAATGGCCGGCCTTCACTCGACAGCATGGCGCTCAGATCGAGTTTGAGCAAATGAATTCGCTTAGATTCTTTCCTGGACCGAGGCTTTCTGGTGTGGAATTCCAAGCAAGGACCGGAAATACAGTCAATTCCGGGAGAAGTTGATAGTTTCCAGACTGCCTCGGGGCAAATAGTGAACAGAAGCTGCAGTGCCATTCAGCAAATGATCCGCACATACTCAGAATTTACTCAAATCCATCTCTGACTTTCGAGAATTTTCGATAGAATACATGCATTCTAGACTTTTCAAGCTAATCGGGTTGTCGTAACATTTGTGTTGTCTGGATTACCCAAATTTCCCTCTAAACGAGCCCAGCTCCTGTGGCCTTTGGAGCAATATGTTCGAGTCGTGCCCAGAAGGTTGACGTGATTCGGCTGAAGTGGGAAATGTATTCCGCTCTAGACTCAAGGGCTTCATGTGAATGCATGAGGCAGCGGATTCACCGACAAAGTCGGACATTTTTTTCACCTCTAGCCTTGGTGACAGTCAGTTGGTAGCAACGCATTGGCGCCCATTTTGGCATGAATGTCTGCGAATGCTTGCTGAGAAAAAATAACCTACAGAATTTTGTAGAATTTGGCTTTAAAGGAGTGTCTGAGTGTAATGGTAGAGCCATTTTCTGCAGAAAATGCTCGGTTTGCCTCTATTTTTACGAAATAAAAAGGAATTCCAAAGTCAACTTCATGATACAATGGCCGATTTTCAGTATCTGGTGTTTCAAGGCGATTTCGACTCCGAAAGGCTCCAGATGTCTGGCTGAACACGATCAGAAGACAACCTTTCACCCTTCCAGAAACGGAGAAATGGAAATCCCATTCACAAATGGCAACTGTAATGCTATTGATAATGACGATAGTATTCATACCACGGAAAATGTAATTACAACTAAATGATAGCAAATCTAATGCTGATCTTAGGAAATTGGCAGTGAATATAAAGTTTGGATGTAATACGCTAGTTTAAAGGCAATAGTAGTGATAATAATGATTCTTTCTATGTTGTTAATGATACTAATGCAAGATGTATGCAATGAGACTGCAGTGAAAAAAATCACGAGTACAGACAGGATATTGGTGATGATACGTGAGAAGATTGCAGTGATAGTGATGATGATGGTAATAATAATAATAATAATAATAATAATAATAATAATAATAATAATAATAATAATAATAATAATAATAATGATGATGATGATGACGAAAGTGATAAAAAGCCTTTGTACCGGATTTTTGACGAGCAGACCGGCATCAATCTTAATCAGTTTGCCCACTTTTAGGGTTGGCTTGGGCAGCAAACTAATGCTATCTCCGGGAAATTCGTTAATGCTTCAGCGAGCCGGACAAACACAATGACAAGAATGGTCTTATCTTTCGAGGGTGGATTAGGGTTGAATTGACGATTCCGAAAAAGATTGACACGAGAACGCTTCAGTGAACATGCAAACGTGGCCAAAACTAGCAGTTGAGGTGTAGGCCAAAGCTGAATTTGGCCACAGTTCACGATCGGGCAGGAAGAAATGAATTGGAAAACAGCTTTTCAAGCCGAACAACGCGATTGTCTTTCACTTCGCATAGCCGCGTTCGGACAAGCATGTCTCTTGAAAAGCATAAAAGCATCGGAGGAACTGGTACAGCTTCATTGTTGTGTCTGGCTACCGTCTCGTGTTAACCGGTCATGGTTACAATCTCCGTGTCTTTGGCGTCTTTTTCGCTTTTCTTGTTCAGCTGTCCTGCTTGGACAATTGGGCGGCAAAGCCTCTCGAACCTTATTTTACAAGGGCAAATGGTCGTGGGCATTCTGGAAACTTCGATTCGACGATGCGCTTAAAGGAATTCGGCTGGAATAGCTTTCATTTCGACAAAAAGCGATCCGCAAATTGGCCAGACCAAACACCGAAAGAGGAAAGTAAATGCTTAATTTTAAGAGTCGGATTGTGGGAAGATGAAGAAGAAGAAGAAAATTAAGAAAAATAGAAAGAAGAGGATGAAGAAGAAGGAAAAAAGAATTATAGGAAAAAGAAGTAGAAGAAGAAAAAGAAGAAGAAAATGAAGCAAGAAAAAAGAAGGCAATAGACAAAAAAGATAAAAATGAAGAAGATACAGATAAAGATAGAAAATGAAGTAGGAAATGGAGAAAAGGCTTGAGATAAAAGATAAAAAAGTAAAAAGAAATAAATGAAAGAGGAAGGAGGAAAAAGATTAAGAAGAAGAAGAAGAAGAAGAAAAAGCTCAGATTATAATCCTGCTACTCCGATGCATCCGTACCTCTATGATAACAGCTTTAGAGACGGACATGAGACTTTCGGAAATATCCACTAAACCACAAAATCCAATTTTGGGACTCTTAAGGAGTAACCTCGGATTCGGTTGGAAACTTAATGCCTACGCCAAAGTCATGCGGACGAAGGAAGTTGACGCAGGGCCAGCACTACTCATGAGTAGTTGGAGCTCAAACCAGCCTCCAACAGGCTCCTAGTCACGGCTAACATTAATCGCCTCGGTATTTCTTCATCTACATCACCCTTTTACTCTTTCTTTCTCACTTTAAGTAAGCAGAGGTAGCTTTTGTTTAGGCCTCATTATAAACGGAAGCTAATTAATGCAGTCGATTACTATAGCAAATATAGTATTTGAGATGTGTTCGTGTGCTTTGGCAGATTAATGTTTTTATGATGCTATGAGAAGACATTAAGTTTTTACTTAATTTCTCATAGCTTCGCCTTCCAAACGGTTTTAACAACGAAATAGGGTGAATACATGTCATGTTATTGATAGTCTCGGATCTCTACTTATATACGAAAAATAGTTTATTCTGTTTTTCCCGATGCTTGTGCCTTGGTTATATGCCAGAAAATGAAGAGCCGTGGCCTCTCTCTTTTTGCGGTTAGGCGACTCAGGGCCTGTCGGAGCTGGAGGAAATGGTATCAACGCCTGCTTCGAGCTGGGATCAAGAATTGAAGTCTGGATCAATTTACAGATTCACTTCGTTCAGTCAAGCAACAGGCGGTCGGCCACGTGTTG